GCTAATGCATGTTGTAAATTTCATGTTATTTGCATGCTTCCTTCAGGGTGTTGCGTTTACGGTGTCCAGCAGTGTACATGCAATATTAATTAATTGTCCAAAGGAGCAATTTGCCCAGAAGGACTATTAATTTCGTTTTGGCCTTTTCCGTTGATTCACTAAAAGCGTTGTTTCACTTTTCAAATTGTTGCCACCAAATATTATCGCCCTTTATTATATTTAAAGAAATCATATTATATTTAAATATCATATAATTAATATTAAATAATGAAGAATCTGCATAAATGTATGTATGTTTCTCGAATTGTGATAAAACAACGGTACCTAGAGCCATTCAATTTTGAATCACGTAATCTTACTGCGAATATGGGCATCTGGAAGCCTATAACGAATTTTTAATTTACAAACTCAAGGATTTCAAAGCGAGCAATGGCAACGTTGTACAGAAAAATCATTTTAATCTCCAGCGCGCGAGACTTTGTCTCGGAATTCTAAAGATATGCTCATTTTAAAATTATTTTGCGATATTTTCCTTGAACTAAATTTTATGGTTTAAGTACGAAGAACATGATACTTAATAAATAAAGGTAACACAAAAAATGTTATAGAAAACGCCCCTTTGGACGTAATTTAAAATCTGAAATTTTCAGATTTGTATAATATTTTATTTATTTTATACATCTATTATATAAATTTATAAAATATGCTTCTAACATATAAAATATACGTACATATGAATTTTTATTTCTTTTTATCCAGAATGTTAAAAGGACAAACAAAGAAAGAGTACCCTGACAATAACAGTGAAATTTGTAGGTAACACAGGTACCGTTAGGTAATGTAGGTAACAGTCAACCGGAGCTTAGCTCTAGCATTCCTAAATTTTTGAGTGAAATCGTAATTTTAGGTAGAGCACGTTGAAGCTGTGAGTAAGACTGGCTTTGATACTTCGCTGCACAAGTGATTTGCAATATAAGCAGAAAATTCTATTATTATTTGAACATTTGTTTTCATAGTTATTAAAACTGATATTAATATTAGTTACTGAACGATGTTTCTGTTTCTGTCGGAATATATGGAGAAACTACAGTGCCTGAGAAACAAATTTCTCTTTACGAAATTCACACTCTCTTCAGGAAACAGAATATTAAGATATTTTATTCATTCAGCTTTAAATGAAATAAGTTAAATCAAAATAAGGAATAGATTTTTCTGATCTTCCAATATATTATTCAAAACTGTTCTTTTATCGTTCAAAATATCATGCCTTGTTATCATTAACTTAATCTTCGATTTTTTTTTTCGATTTCTCGTTTGGGATGCATTACTTTATTTAAATAATATTTTTTTTGTAATTATAAGTAATTTGTAAATATTTTTATTTATCTCTTTTGCATTTCATTTAATTTCAAGCATGAACTATTTATTTTATTTTATTTATTTACCTCTCTTCGACATTTTTATGGCCTTCCCTAGGCTCCAGTAATTTTAATATTAGAAATTAAAGCCTAAGAATAGAAACTGAATAGATTTTCTTAGATAGTGGTAAAGTGCACTGAGGTTACTTGCCTACGGAGATGAATGCCTTCGTAAAAGACTTTCTGAGGAAAATTGACTTGTACTTGTTAGATTAAATTATTGCCACTTTTGCATACTAAAACTTGGTATCATCCACCCGCCCCCCCCCACAAATTCTGAAAGCTTTCAGATTTTACATTACGCCCAAAGAGGCATTTTTGTAACGTTTTGTGGGTTACTTTATTTATTAAATATCATGTACTTCGCCTTTAAACCCTAAAATTCAGTTCAACAGCAATATTGCGAAAATAATTTTAAAATAAGCATATCTTTAGAATGTCCGTTATGCAGTCTCGAGCGCTGGAAATATTTTTGTTTTTCCTTTTTGTCGTACAGCTAGCTTTTGACCATTGCAACCATTGCTCGCTTTGAAATCGTCGTTGAGTTTGTTAATCATGAATTCGTTAAAGTTTTACAAAATATGAAATAGATAATAAAACAAATTTCAAATTTGGGCTTCCAGGTGCACATATTTGGGTGGAAACGTACGTTATTCAAAATTTGATAGCTCTAGGTACCGTCGTTTTATGACAATGCAAGAAACATAGATACATTTATGCTGATTCTTCATTATTTAATTTCTTTAAATACAACACAGGGCTGTAATATTTGGTGGCAACAGTGTGAAAAGCGAATCGACACTTAAAGGTTTCAACGCAAAATGCCAAAACGAAATGAATAGCCCTTCTGGAATAACGCCCTTTAGGCTAACTAGCTAGCGCCCAAAAAATATACATTTGCGAGGGAGGATTCTGTTTATGTTCAGATGCAAAGATGTAAAAAAGGTTTTGTGCTAATGTTGCATTTGTGCTTCATTGTTTTCAGCATGTTACGTTCTTTTGTGGAATATACTCCTGATAATATTGCCTAATTGATAAGCCTGAAGCTGTTTAAAACTTATAAATGAAACTCTTGTGAATTCCTTCTTTTTTAACACTTCTATTTAAATTCTTTCTTTTTCAACACTTTGTAAAGACTGTTAACTTTCATCTGTATTCTATTTGTGTTCCATCTCAGTTAAGCAAACTCTCTAACTTGTTAAATAACGATTTCGTAGTTATTCTAACTTCTTTAACAACACTGTGCTAAATAGAAGATAATTTACTCAAACGCCGTAACTATGTTAAATGCACGACATATCAGTAATCACGTTATACATGAGGAAAATCATGAAAACGTCAAACAGCCAGCTCGTTTCCTACGATTTGAATCGTGATCCATCTGTTAATTTTCACAAATCTAATCTATTCAACTCCTGTTGGACTCCGCAACATAGGTAGCAGTTCTAATGTATATCAGTAAGAAGAAAAGGGGAAAAAATCAAAGAATTCATAAAGAAATGTACTGGAATAATCGAATTCGTGTTAGTTATGAGAATAAATTTTAACTGCGTAAGATGAAAGAGACAACAATTTTTTCCCTCTTTCATATAAATAATAATATTATAAGTACTACAGTGAAAGTGATATTAGTATAGTTGTTAACATTTCTCTTACACATTTCTCTTACGAATATATTTATTATAGAAAACGAATGCAGAACTCTGACCTTTCTTTGCGTCATATAATTGGAATTTCTGGCTTCACATAAAAATTTCCGTAATTCATAGGAAATTGCCCGAAATCTGAGGAACGGAAAAAGACTAGATTTGTGAATAATAATCTAATGTACATATATATCTGAATTACTAAAAAAATTATAGGCAATATCTGAACTAAAATTATAACAACGAAAATTATGATAGGATTGCTACGAAAATTAGTTACGATTTCCTAAACTCCAGTATATCAAACTAGAAAGCCCAAATAAGCAAAAGTTCAGTAAAATGTCCTAAATATAAATAAAGAAAATGAAATAAAAAAATCTGATGTGTTACATCACATGATTTCCTTGTACGGAATATTAAATTATACGCATTTTTTTTTGCATTTCATTTAAACTTATTGGATTGAATTAAATATACTTCGCCGACAGCGCATAAACCACGATAGAATAAATGCACTCTTTAAAATTTACTATATTTGTTTACTATAGCGACACTCCAGCGATTATATATACAGTTTAAGAAGAACTGTCTAAAAATACAGAATACGATCTAAAAATAAAACAAATGTATGAATTGTTAAGTACGTTGCTTTTAAGTTAGTTAATTAAGCTATGTGCAGTTTTAATTTGAAAGCTAGATTAAGAATTTTATGGGCTATAGACAGAGCTTAAATTGCGCAGGAGCCCACCTCCGGTACTTCTTAGTTTTTGGGATAAATCATAATTCTAGGCGGAGCGCATCGGAGCCCTAAATAAGAAGGTTCCGGCACTTCTTTTACGCAACTGAACAACAATTACAGTAGAAATTTAATCTCGAAAAGTTTATTTTTTGCAATAAAATTATATTAAAAACCGATTATTAAATTTTAGTTTATCTCTTTACATTTTATTTAATTTTAATTATTTAAGTACTTAAATCTTTAATTATGTATATAAAAAAATAATTAATAAATGTTTATTTAATTAAAGGATAATTATTAATTAAATCATATTTGATAAATAATAATTATTAATGTTGATTAAATAATTATTAATTACTTTGATAATAGTTAACTATTTAATTTTTTAGTTATTAACGATTTTGATAGTCACTTTGTTTATTTATTTACTTTTGCTCCTCTTTGCTGACGATTTTCCATAGGGCTTCGGTATTTGTAATTTCAGAAATTAAGCCTTGGTTGTAGAAAAGGAAAAACCTTTGAGAACCGATAATTATCCAACCTATGTTGATAGCAAATGAAAGATCGCATATTTCTCGGAACGGCAACATTTACCAAACCATGCGACCGATATGTATCTCGGTAAATTCGCAAATGCTTTAAACTATAAACGTTTCTAATATTTCCTCCTCCACTCTTCCAAAAAAAGATGTTTGTTACCACGTAACTCTTCTTCCAGCAATGAGCTTTATTTTAACGCAGGCGGTTGTGTAATATATGGCCCTAGAAACATTCTTAATTAATTGTACCAATCATATAAATTTTGCTGAATTTTAGTTCTGACGGAAAGTACGAAAATACTATTTTAAAAATATTATTTTTAAATGATTCGCGCTGATACTATGATAAGAATTGTATTGTCACAATTGTGAATAAATCTTATACTGCATGAACTTGTAACGGTTGTCTTATTAATGCTATATTTCCTTTAAGAATAACGAAACATGACATATATATAAAATTTTATCATAATTTTACAAATAATAAATACTCTATCTGAAACTGTACCAATGGAACTTGAATAAGAATATTTAAAAAGTCGCTTTTAAAATAGATGAACCCCTATGTCTGTAGCATTTATGGAGGAGAGAATTTCCCAGCAATCATTTCATTCTGTTTATTGTGAAAAGCAGAATTAGCAAAAATAAAAGAACTTACCTACTATTTAACAACAGAAGCGTCGAGTAATCCACGCTGCCTTGCATACTACAACGCAAAACTGAATTTTCTCCACTTTTTCCTCTGCACCAGTTTCAATCAAATCGTCCCACGCGAAATTACCACTTGACTGGCATCGTCAGTATACCCTACCTGCTACCCCTATCCTACCGAATATTAAGTAATTATCAATAATTTTCAGAGGAAGGATTCTGGACCATACGAGGATGGAATATGCACAGATGTTGCCTTCTATTTTAGAGTTGACTGTCAACAGGTGGGTGGGCCTGAGGGCTTAACCGTATACGGTAACAGACATCTCGACAAGCAGAGAACCGGTTTTTTGGTGTTGAATTTTGTCAACTCTTTATACGCTTTTTTCTTCTTCCCTGAGGCATGAATGAAGTGCTCTCAAAATGTTTTACATTCTCCATTATCCCTGATCTAGTTTCTTTAACTTACATTGAAGTAAGAATTACGTTATGTGGCCTAAATAGTTAGTGATAGTCAAGTTCAAGGGATACATTCCATTCACGTTTCGCCTGCTGTTATTACTACTACGTTGTGAGTTTATTTAAATAGGGCTTATTAGTTTGACTCTGAGTTATGGTTTCACAAAATATAGTTTTATATTTTGCGACGAAAATTTCAAGTTTCTTTTGTAACATTTTGTTATAAACAAACCCTTGAAATCAAAGTGAAATTCTTTCAAACTTGTTTTATGATATATTGATGAATTTTTTTAAATAACATTAAATAATAATCAATCCCCCCCAAAAAATTGAAGGTGACTATCATATAGGAACATTTTATGAGCTGTGACTTAATTGTGATATCTTATGACTATCATATAGAAACATCTTATGTTAACCCTTTCCGGCACGCTACCTTTGAAAGGAGGAGTTTTGATTAAAAAAAAAAAAAAAAAAAAAAAAAAAAAAAAGGTAGGCAGTCTAATTAGGCCTAGAGGAATACAAAAGTAAAATTTTGTGAAGATAGCACTTATCGTCTTAATTCTTTGGGTGTGCCCAAAGTGACACACTGATTGAATAGAGCTTCGAAAAAAGTGCTGAAACGAGCATTGTTGTCAATGAACTGACCGATGAGATCCGGAGAAACAAAGAATACAGATTCTCAGTTCTACTAGATTATCGGTGAGCTCGGTTTGGGCACACCTTGGGTTCGCCCTTTGATTTTAGGCAAGATTTAAAAGTAAAAATTTAAAACTAATATAGAATAAGGAGATTAGCATACAGGCCAAAAAAAAAAAAATAACAGAGAAATTTCTTTTCAAACAATTCCTTTTATACCCTAAAAAAATCTGAAAGATTTCTTTGAAAAATAAGTGTCTTAAAAATCTAAACATGGCTAAAATATATGGACTGGTTTGTGTTGAGCTGCCATCTACTATAAATAAAGAAGATTCAGAGTAACCTATAGTAACCTATAAATCCTTTTTCATTCAATCTTTCTGTTCGTACAGAAGGACATTTTTAGGTTTGTCCAGACCGGCCACACTGTGCCGCAAAGGGTTAACTAAAATACTGATATAAATCATCATTTGGACATATAAATGAAATACATTAAAATTTATTTCAATTACATAAGAATAGCTGAAGCAACATTAAAGTGACCTTCAAGGCCGCTGGTAACCGGCGACGGTTACCGATGCGTTAAAACTGCAGTAAATTATCAGAAAGCGGTCTTATAATTTTATTCATCTGCTTAATTTGGTAAGGAAATACAGCCTGGTTAAACATGCAAACTAAATTACATTTCTATATGTTTTGCAAATTGTAACACTCTGAGCATTAGCTCAGTTAACTAAATTAAAGAGGATAAATTTTAAAGCTCTTATGTTTCACATGTGAAGTTTATAAGCTATTTTCTCCCTTCTTTCTGCATGCCTTCGTGGTGTAACTGTAGCACACTCGGCGCGTATTCGAGAGGTCCAGGTTCGAGTCCGGCGAGGGCATTGCTCATTTTTGCTGTCTCCAGCATCAAAACAACCTAACCACTCTTACAAGTTTTACGACACCTTCCAAATGGACTGGATTGATGAATGCAAAGTTGCATCAAGTAACCATTACTTAACACTCCAAGAATTTGAAAGGACTCAAAGTCGGTATAAACAGTGCTACCTGTGCTGCCGCACATTGTGGCAGAATGGCTACGAAAGGTTTAGAATTTAGGAAGCCACTAGGTGACAGAATTAAGGAGATGCAGAAATTGCGCTGGCGGCAAAATGCCTAGTGTTGGCTCTGGAAGGACTCTGCTAAGGAAGTTTCTAATATCAGAATTGCAATAATTTTCAGATTTGCTAGATTTAAAAAACTGAATAACTATATATACTGTAGAGCTTAGATTTCGATTAGTGATATGAATCCATGTTACTTTGGGAAATCGAAAACTAGAATAAAATACTAAATTTCAGCCATTTGCAGTTAAAAATTACTGATGAAAATTCCGTCAACTTGTGTAGTGCTACTTTTAATCCTTTTTTTCTTCTTCACCGCTTTTGAGTTTAATTTCCTATTAAAAGGAAGAAAAACGTGTGTTTACGGAAAACAAATGCGCGCATTTTACTGATGCGTACATTTTATGCATCTAATAACTAGTAGTTAATGTTACATTTTAAAACTATATTATTGTACAATAGGAATTGAAATGTATATTAAATTTAAAAATAAAACAAAACGGAGAAAACGGAATCATTTTGTATCACATTTTATGGTTTCGAACTTCAAAACAACCTTAAGCGGATAAGTATCCATTTTGTAGAGATTCATATTTTATTCAAAATTTAAGACATATTTATATTGATCACATTCCTGAAATTTAAGATATTTAAGAAACTTTGTCGTCAGAGGCTACACAGTGATGAAATATAATACGATACTAAAGCCCATTAATAATAAAACTGTGTTTACGTTGTTAAGGTGTATTTTCCTTGTCAATGATTCTGCAGAAACTCTGCAGAAACATTGATTGAACATTCTGCATGATTGAACATTTTGACGAAAACGTTGATTGAACATTTTGATGAAACATTCTGCATTTTATTTTATTAATACACATTTATTTGTTGCTGTCATACTGGTACATTAATGTTATGTTTTTAATTGTACAGTCCCTTTATGAACACCAGATGGCGTACGGGTTGCTGATCGTATAATTCTTTTAATGTTTTATATTTCGCTTTGTGAGTTGGCAATTAGATGAGTTGGAATCAATATGCAGTAAAAGAACGACAACGATAAAGACGTAAATAAAAATGTACTGAAGAAGTTAATTCAGTTTATAACTAACATATTTGTTAAACATGTAAATACTTTAAATGTAATTAAACGTGCTGTCCTTTCAAGTAGATTCTTAGATGTCTTTTTCAAGAAGATATTACCACGTATTATATCAGAAGTGCGATTCGAACCCACGCCCACAGATGTTTCTATGGCTGATGAAGCTTGAAGACGATGTTTGCTCATGCTCTCATTCTTGAAACTGAAAGACGATCAGGACTCTAAAAACATTTAACTTTTACTTTTATTACCTTTCTTGCTTTGCTTTTGTCTTTTCTTTGTATTTGTAGTGTCGCCTGGAGAACCAGACGAGTGCCGGACGGCCGAATGATGTAGTGCCAATGTTGAATACCAGATGGCGTACGGATTGCTGATCGTATAATTCTTTTAATGTTTTATTTTTCGTTTTGTGAGTTGGCAATTAGATGAGTTGGACTCAAGCTGCAGTAAAAGAACGACGACGATAAAGACGTAAATAAAAATGTATTGAAGAAGTTAATTCAGTTTATAACTAACATATTTGTTAAAAATGTAAATACTTTAAATGTAATTAAACGTGCTGTCCTTTCAAGTACTTTCTTAGATGTCTTTTTCAAGAAGGTATTACCAGACACACATATATATTGCAAAATACATTAAAAAAGTAATACGTTTAAAATTCATATCATATGTGCAGTTCGGAATAAACGCATGCAAAAACTAAAAAAGAAAAAAAAAAAAAATATTAGAAGCAAATTGGCAAACCGTAAGAAAAAGGGAGGGGGCAAAAATATCAAAACCAAAAATGAAAAAAGAAATGTATATCTCTCACTGCATCGCCATCAGGGGGTTGGTGCAACGAAAGAAGCAAATAATAACCTATTTCTGAAGCAGCAGAGATACAAATTAAAGTTTAAAATTTATATAATACCATAAAAGCAATAAAATTAATCTGTGTCTTAATCAGTCCAACTTCCTACAGGCCGAAAAAGGCAGTGCGAAAACACTGCAAAATTATAGCGTAAAACACATAAATAAATTTTAAAACTATGTTATTATTTTGAACAGACTAAGTCTAAAAATCCGCACAGAGCATGTAAATACAAGCAATCCTATACATGAAAAAATAAAAACATGTAAAATTTTAATCCATACAGATCAGTTTAAAATTAAAATATATATATATATATATATAACAACAAAATAAGCAAGCAAAAAGCTTAAAAATCTAAGAATGTTAATTTTAATTTAAGTGGGCCGAGGCCAAGATACACGTAAAATAGAAGTAATCCCACATATGAAAATTTGAACTAAAATTATAAAAATAAGAATAAAAGTGAAAATAAATAAAAATTTGAAAGTTTTCAGATTTTAGAGTATACCCAAAGAGGCTTTTTTTTTACCGTTTTGTGTATTATATTTATTTATATATATCATGTTCTTCACACTGAAATCATCAAATTCAATTCAACAGCAACATCACAAAATAATTTTAAAAGATCTTCAGAATTTCCGATATATAGTTTCGCGTGCTGGAGGTAAAAAAAGATTTTTTTTCCTTAAAATTGATGTACCGTTGTGTACCGTGTGTAATGCGGGAAATATACATACACTTACAGATTCTTCATTATTTAATTTCTTTAAATATAATACAGGGTGATGATTGGGAATTGAACTGAAAAACAGTTGGGAATCCACTGAGAAAAGGAAAAATTATATGTGTGCTATACGGATTTATAAAAGGAAGAAAGTGCTATACTGATATAGATTTGAATCAGATTTTGGGGGGATATAGACGTTTTCCAGTGTATTTGAATAGATTTGCCTTGCAGGAAAACGGTCTTTGTCGGCTATGTAGAGTAAGAGGTTATAATGTTCACTTCGTTGAAATTTGGGGCCCGACTGCTAGTATAGAGATAAAATGAAAATCGAATTTCCAAGACATCTTATAAGGACTATAGTAAAATGCTGCTTTATTCCAGGGAAATAATGAATATTATCAACTGGCAGAGATACTTGTCTGGAGTAGATGTGTGAAATGTGTACCTGTTTTCTTTTCTTTATAGTCCAAAGGGGTAATTTGCCCAGAAGAACTATTAATTTCGTTTTGGCATTTTGCGTTGACTCACTAAAAGCGTTGTTTCACTCTTCAAATTGTTGCCACCAAGTATTATCGCCCTGTGATATATTTAAAGAAATTAAATAATGAAGAATCTGCATAAATGTATGTATGTTTCTCCCATTGTGAAAAAACAACGGTACCTAGAGCCATCCAGTTTTGAATGACATAACCTTACTGCGAATATGGGCGTCTGAAAGCCCAAATTTGAAATTAGAATTCGTTTTATTATCGATTTCATATTTTTTAAAAATTTTGATTTGAATTTTTGAAGAATTTTTGATTAACAAACTCACCGATTTAAAAACCAAACTCACCAATTTAAAAACGAGCAATGGCAACACTCTACGGGAGAAAAAAACTTTTTTATCTCCAGCGCGCAGAAATGTGACCCTTTGGACGCAATTTAAAATCTGAAACCATTCAGACTTATTATTTATTAATTTTTTTTCCAATTCGTTTTGTTTTGTCATCAATATCCAAAGTTTCAGAAAATTATGCAACGACTCTCTTCCTACGGCCTAGATCTCTGTCAAGTGTAAGTCCAGTTTAAATTTAGTGAATATTTACATGCTGTGATTATAGACAAAATGGATCCGCTTGGGAACTTTATGAACTGCAATAAACCAATATATCTGAAATAACCCATGGACACCTACCTCTTTAGCATTATTATAACAATTCATTTAGCATTGTATTGCCAGTACTAATTATAATTATCTCATTATGTTTATTTGTTTATTAATTATGTTTATCTCCTATTTTTGTTGCACCAAATGAGATGTTCAATTTATCTTGTGAATCTCAAATTGTATTCCTACTATTTTGTAATCTACTTATGCCCTACACCATTATTTTTAATAAATACTGGATGCGGGGCGTACTGTGGAATTGTACGATGTACTAGGCAAACTTTAGACCTTTTGAAAATAATAGGCAAACTTTAGACCTTTTGAAAAGCTTCAGTCTATGCAAATTCTTATAAAACTTGCAATTCCCCCCCTTTTTTTTTCTCTCAAAGAATTAGTATGGGAAGGCATTACCAGTTGACCTATGGTACATCGCTGGTGTCCCCCATACTTTTACCTTTACCTTACCTTTGTCGGGCTGGCCTCTAAAAGCTTTATGGATGAATCATCGGCTGGGGGAGCTGGGAGCTTTGCCCTTATAGTAACATAGTAAGAGGTTGATGGTATTTGGTGGCAACAATTTGAAATGTGATTCAACGCATTCAAGTTTTTAACTCAAAATGCCAAAACTAAGCTAATAACTGTTCTGGGCTAAGGCCCTTTTGTCCAATAAAAAGATGAGCTAATTCTTAAACTTTGAAACATTAGCGTAACAAAAGTTTTAAATGAAAAAGTACATATTCGTTCTGTTTGATAGGAAAATATCGTTAGTCCAGCAATGTATATACTGTGTGTGTGTGTGTGTGTGTATATATATGTATCCTGTGATACATGTTTTGTGATAAAGGGCATTATTTTGGAAAATCATTTATGGATCAAATGTTGAAGCACAGGAATATATGAAGTCACGTAGATGCAGCAAAAATCAGTCTTGGCAGACTTAAATACGCTTTTTAATTGACATCTGCAGTCACATAAAACTTGACAAATTAATCATGCCTACTTCAGGAGATAAAATTTACAGTTTCAATATCATTGCAGTAAAAAGGAAGCAGCGAAGCAGCATCTTACTGGTAAGAGAATAAGAAGCGAAGTGTTGCCATCCAAAATGGAGGATTACAAATGGAGGATTTTAAAAAGAGAAAAGTTCTGTTTTGCTAATTTTGACTTTCAGCCTAGAATTAGTTATGTCATCCAACGTTATGGAAAGGACGGAAAGAGGAAATATCCAAATTAAATCAGAAACTTAAGGTTTCATTAGATATTAAAATTGGAATTTTGATTTAGAAATTTTTTATCTTACACAAACGCAAACACGCATACATACATACGTTTCTGAATTCGTTCCCACTAACAGGAGTGTAGCAACATATTTTTAACCTCTTTTCTTACTTTAATAATTATAATTCTGCTAATTTTAATAGATTAATTTACATACAGTTATTAAACTTAAGTAATTAATTGTCACTAAATTCTTTTTTTCAGTGTAAATATATCAGATTTAAATAGTTTTTCCTATATTCAATGTTATTTATTAACTACTTAATAATTAATAAATTTATTAAATTCTTAACTTTTCTTAACGTATTGATTTGCAAAAAAATTGTATTTGGTTAAATAAACATTTAGTTTAAATTGATTTACATAATCGAAAGGAAATTTTGATTAAATATTAACTAACTATTATCAAACGTTTCTTGCAGTTTTCCCATTTTACAAATTTCAGATCGCAAGCATTTCACACATTAAAATTATTGCTTCATAACACATTCATCTAGATATAACTTTTTTATTCTTTCGAATTTAATTAAAATGCTTTTTAAATTTCGGCCTATCAGCGATTGGCAGATTAATGCGTAATTTGGTTGAATTTTAATTTAATTTGTTTCTAAAACTGTCTATCTAATAAATTTATTGGCTGTGCATTTGTTAACTTAAAACGAAATGTCCCTAGTAATGTAAAATTGTACCTACTTTAAATTTTATATTTAATTTTTTCTCGGTTTTGGTTTATGTGACTGTAGAGATATTAGACGTTTTTGGAAGCAGGAGTAGATGAAAAATGAGCAATGCCCTCGCCGGGACTCGAATCACGAACCTCTCGAATACGCGTCGAGCGTGCTGACCGCTACACAACGAAGGCATGCTAAGAAGGCGGAAGAAATACTTTATAGGATAATTAATTTTAAAACTCACTATTTTATTTTAAATTATAACTTTAATAGAAAGTGTTAATTAATTTTCCATAGAAATTTTCTAATTTGTTAAATCTTTTCACTTGTGTTAATTGATGTGAAAGTTTGCAGTTTTGCAGAAGAATTTATCTACTAATTTGTTTTTACTTTACCGAATAGAATATGGTATTTTAATTTGCTTTGATTTTCTTAGTCAAATCTCAGTATCTTAAGGTATAAGGATGTTCATCCTCCCAATGTAAACTATTTAGAATTGTAACTTATTTATACGGAAACTGATTCGAAAATGTAGATAAACATATGACTCCAAAATTTATACCACCCATACACCACACACATTTCTATTAATTCAGTGAGTAGTACCATGTAATTAAAAACAAAAAATAAATATATTGTTGTCAATTTTCTATCTAATCTTATCACCAGGACTTAAGTTAACCCTTCGAAAGTGTAATATCACGAGATAGGATGTGATAATTCGCATTTCTATTTCGTCATTCGTCCAATCAAATAACGATAAGAAAAGAAATAGCTTAGCATAAAGTTTCCGTTTGAAAAATTGTTGCAGTTCACATTGGAGAGCAACGATGTTTAGTACATTTTGAAACCTTTTTTAAAGCGGCACCGTTTTTAAAGGCGTATAGAGAAAATCGACTTCCTATAGAGGAAGGCAGTGAGTATATCATTTATATATCTTTTATTTACAATAAAGTATTTTCTGAATTTCATTTTGATTTTGGTGTTCGGTATTTTTTTAGTTTTGTTAGTTAAAGCTTTGTTTACGCTCGTGAGCCATTCTTTATTCGAGAACATAAAAATATTTTTATAAGAAAGGCATTGAAAACATATCAAGTTTGTACACTTAATATGGAAAATGAAAGGAAAATTAATATTTCATTATAAATTTACTCATAAAAACGGTTCTGCTTTGTATTATTTTGGATAATGATAATCACAGAAAAATACTTAATTAATTTTTTTTGCATGTTTATTAATACAGTCAACGTGGTATCAAAAAATCTGTCGAATTTGACTTGCGGAACCCCGAGGAGATTTGTGGGGAACCTCTGAGTTTTACAGAACATAATTGGAAGACCATTGATTTAAGTCAACAGGTAAATTAAACTTTTGTTGTTATTTCTTCATAAACCTCGATAGAAATCAATTTTCATTTGCTTCAGAATAAGATTTTAAACTACAAAACATCGAAATACTATGTTAGAATATAAAAACTATTATAACGTATGTTTGGAAATTATTAAATAAATTATTGCTTTGCCATACTTTGATGAATGTATGTTTTTTTTTTTTTTTTGCTTATTAATGTTGACAATTTGTGTTATCATTTTCTTAAAAAATAATTCGGTTTATTTAAACTTATGTAAAATCACACGCAGTTATATCATATCATAAGTATTGATATTTCGTTCAAGCAAACATTCATATCTTCATAAATTTGCTATAGTAACAGGTCAGTATTAAAATCAGATTCAAATATTGATGAAGAGGGATTTTTTTATATCTTAAGTACTCTAAACGTTTTATTTAACGTTTAAAGCATCTTTAGCTTAATATTTCTATTTTTTTAATCCTCTTATGTTTTGTTACGTTACGCAATCAGGGCATTTATCAGGCAAAATGCCAGCTCTCAGCTATGCTGTCATTCGATGCGGCATAAAATCTTTAATTTATTCTTAGGATTAAAATTTTATATTGTATAATAAACTCAGAAATTAAGGAAACAATATGCTTACTTCTTATTATATCCTTGTTTTTTTTTTTTTTTTTTTTTTTTTTTTTTTTGAGTGAAATTTCTAATAACTGTTCATTTTTAATTTCTTAACTTATACAGTTTGCAATATGTATTTGGTAATTTTCATAAACATTACGAAATACATTACATTAATTTAAGCTTTATTGCTGGAATTAATGTAAGATGTTTCTACTACATATAAATGCATTTCAATACAGAATAATCATCTGCATTTCTCCTAATAACGTAGTTTATGTTGAAATTAATTATAATCATAAGCAATAATAATTTTCTTGCAGTTTCTTACAAGTAGATTCTGGGAGTTTATTTAAAAATGCTAATGATATTCATTCTTTTCAATCAAGCACAATAATACAAGTATTTCAATTAATTAAGTACAATTAATTCAAATACATTTAATGCAACATACACATATTTTGTTTGGTTCTGTTTCTTAAGTTTAATGAACGTTTTTAAACAATTAGGAACATAATTAAGACACCAAGAATGATATCAATATTAAGCTTCTTTTATACGAAGGAAAATATATTTTATGATATTTTTAAATCTTGCTTTAACTTATTAAACAAATTAAGTGTGCAAAAAATTTTTACTTCTATAAAATATAAAAATAAATAGGTAAAATATTCATTTAAAAGAATTGTTCAAAGCAGAAACAATTTTAACTAATTTTCGTTTCATTTATTAATTATTATTTCTAAAATTACATTTCATAGTATAGTGTAATAATGAAGAACTACATAAGCAAGTTATGGCTAAAATTCAATTTATTTCTTTATTTTGCAAACATTTTTATAGTTTATTTGCTTAAATATAATAATGAACCAAAAATAAAACAAAAAAGTAAAATATGTGGAATAAATTTTGTCAAATGTAATATTTGCTTCTTTTCTTACTAAGGAAAACAATTCTATATATGAATGAAAAGATGAAAAAAAAAAAAAAAATTCAGGTATAAAGTCCCAAAAAACACCCCTAAAAGATTTTAAAAAGGAATTATATTGTTGCGTGCGTACGGGTTCTTAACATATTGAATGCATAAGTCCGAAAATAGATTAATAAAAATTAATTTTTATCAAAAGAAGTATTTCAGAACTTCTCCACAGAAATATTCGTACATGTGTTCACAATATCACACAGTACAATCAGTAGTTACCCTTCAAACCATTAAGAACGTTAAACACAATGCAAAGCACATCTAAAGAGAAAGCTAACTCGGATATCTCAGTTCACGAGAAACTAAACAACTCGCAACAACAATAACTAAGCAACAGAGAACAGATGCTCTCTCTTCCACCTTAAATAGTTTTCCACCGATCGACAGATATTTCTAGTACTTTCTGTTTCTCGAAATTCCTGGAAAGTAATACGAGGGTGAAGTGATCAATTACATTTATTCAATTTTAATACATGTTACGGTAATACAGTGTCCGGTCCAAAATATCGCCAAATTTGGCGACAAAATAATTTGCCAAAACCGTTGACAGCTTGGTTTTATCTCGCCAAATTACCTAGATACTCATTTACTTAATGTTAAATGCACTTGCCTCTGTACACTTGCTCTTGAAATGTGCCTCGCGCTACATCACGCAGAAAAATACAACAATTTTACATATAATTCTACTAAAATTACCTTTCTAAGGACAAAATTCTTAGCAATATGCAAGCTTTTTATCTACAATTGCTTAAGTTTTCACAGATATTCCTGTAAAACTGCAGATTCTCTAGTAAATATTTGCTTAAAATCAAAAATCAATTGAAACTTCAGAGAAGCATGGAGGAATACATAAAATCTTCACCAAGCGTGTTAAACAGAAAGGGTTAGGCAATAATGCGATTCAGTTTCAAGTAATTTACTGAACATTTCCTTTGCGGTTTGCTTTCGATTGGTAAACGTTTCACGGCTGAGATTTAAAATTTTATACACAGGGGTATCGTGACAATTGTCTTTCAGAAATGTTTTCCATTTCATTTATGTTTTCCATTCATTGTTGAACATTCGTGAAATCAAAACATTCTTTCACCAAAATTATTCAATAAACTTCTACAGTTTGCAAACAGGGTTTACTTAAACTTTTCTATGTCCACAAAACACTCTTAATTTGATTGACAATTTTAAATCTGTTCCATTATACAAGCTTTATACAATACGTTTTCTGGTTCGCTTCTACTTTTACTTTCCAGTAATGGGTGTTTTCAGTTATTTACTTTCAGTTTACATAGATTATGATTATTCATTTCCTTTCAAGAAATTTTTTAGTTTCCCTCTTGCGTAAGATCATTGCTTTTAGTATTCTCAACTATCGCAGATGTGAATTTAATTAGTAGCAAGTTTATGACATCAGTGAGATAAAATTCTGGAATAACGGCGTCCGCCGAAAACATCGGGGCAAAAACGTCGCGAAGAAAACAACGCAAAGCAAAAACATCGTCTTGCAAAACATCGGAAAGCAAGAAGAAAACAACGCAGTTCTAAAATATTGTGATAAAAGTCGTCTTCATTGAAGCTGCGGCTCAAAAACATTGCAATTTAAAAACATCCGCGTTGAAAATAAACGGTTGAAAAACGTGGCAGTTTTAAAATATCGTCGTCGAAAGTATCGTCGTAAAAAATAAAGCACCTTCAATTCATCATATGAGGATAACATTACAAATTTGCGTTTTTAGGATCTAAAAATTCTGACATTAGCATACTGATTTCTGAGCGCAAGAAAGAATGAGAAATATTTTTACTTTTAATTCTTCATATTCTTTAATTAGCTAATAATTTTTTCTGAAAAAATAAGAAGGAAATTTAAGCATTCAGAAACTGAATGAGAAGAAAAGTAATGCTAGGTATACCAGTTAATATAATTTTAAATTTATATATGTAGAGTCGATGTGGGTGGCATAAGTTAAATCTATGGGGCTTCTTGGTTACAAATACATTTTAATGGAAATGAATACACAGCAAATACACATACGACACACAAAATACAAAATGCAAGATACTAATAGAAAACTGCTGATATCGTACATCTAGTTTTGAATTTTAATTCTTATTGCCAAATCTAAGAAAGCATTTCTAATAAGTCTAAACATATTAAAATTACATATTACTTTGATTTGTACGCTAAGCGAATGTTTTAATTCTTTGCCATTTCCTGCATATAGTTAACTAATAAAGGTTATTAATTAAGCAGTTTTATAAAGTTTTGTTGGTAAATTTTTTTATGGGAAGTATAGTCTAAAAAAGATTAGATAAAGGCAGATGAAGGACTGTATGTGATTTCCTGTATTAAAATTGTTTAATTATTTGTCAAATTATAAAATTTACATTCTACTTATTTTCAATTTTTGAATGCGTAAGTTTCCTTCTTAATTTTTCAGCAAAATTTCATTATTTAATTCAAAAATGTAAAAGTAAAAACACCCCTTATTGCTTTTGTGCTCGCAAGTCATTATGCGAATATGCATTGGCAACTTTTCAAGCCTGAAAACTGCATGTCCGCGATGTTGTCATATGCAATGGCAGGTGGCTTTATTTTTTACCGCGTTTTTCTTGACGAAGAAGCTTTTAAACTACGAAAGTTTTGAACTGTTTTATTTTCGATCGCAATGTTTTGTTCTGCGATGTTTTATAATTACGGTGTTCTCTGCTCTTTTCTCCGCCGACATTCTATATGAGGACGTTTTCCCCTTGCATTATTTTCTCTGCGACGTTTTTATCAGCGATATTTTCCCCTGTAACCAAATTTTCTCAATTTCAATCAAGTTTCATAGAAATTACATAAAATTCTTGTGTTAGCTTCAATTCAAGTAATAGTATGACCTTTTGTTTTTATTCCATGGGAAGATTTTTAGTTTTCTTGGCTTAATATAACACAATATATATATAAACTTATGTAATAGTTCTCAATTTTATAAAGTAATAATTATAAGTTATGTGTATTAAAACTTTTAATAAAAATATATGTAACATAAAAATATGTAAATAAAAAATATTAATTTTAATTTGCAATAGTCCTTTAATTCTCTAATTTAATTTGGATATTTCCCCTTCCTGTGCACTGGTGACGCAGATAACTTACAAACTAAAATTCAAACGTCCAGCATCGAAACGTTTAATAGCCAACGAGAAAACTGCAAACCAAAATCTTTTTTGAACTGAGTTTCCATCTTGGAATACCACACATTTTGATTTCCACTTCGCTCCTGCCAACAGGCGGGTGCTGCTACCTGCTATCTGCAAAATTATGTTTTGGCAATTTTATCGGTTCTGATGTAAAACGTTCTTTAACAACAAACATTTATTGCGTCAAGTTACTTTTTATTGGCTATAAAGATGTGTGTTAGCATCGCCCTCCTTAATGGGTCAAATAAAAAATTAACTGAAGTTGCATTTTACTTAGAGTTTCAATAAAACCTTTTTTTATTAATAGTAATGATATCATTAATATACCTACAGGTAAAATAGAATTTTCTATAGATTGAGCTTTCGGTAATTTTTATAAAAGTGCAGTCTTAGATAAGTGAATAAAAGTTACAAATGGTAGTGGAGTCGTTTGTTTCAATTGGGATACGGTTAATTTTCTGGATAATTTCTTTCTTTTATTGTCGTTCAAAATTTTATAGTTTGTTATGTGTAATTTCAGAAATGTAGGTTTCGTTTTTATTTTTATTATCTTTTGTTTTAAATAAGATTATTTCAAGCTTGTTTTGCTGCTTTCATCTATTGTTTAAAAATGTGATAACAATAATAACAATAACAATAGGGCGCTTCCTTCTTATGAAAAGAAAGAAAGGAGTTTAGGCAAAATTGCCCATTACTCTTCCGCCATTTGATCATTTAAATCAAGGGATTTAAATGGTAACTCCCATAAAAGGTGAATAATAAATAGATAAGATCTCAAACTGACACCAAATCTATAGTATCAGCAAAAGATCCCATCTCTAAGTTCAAGGTGTCGGCTGGAAATCGTGAAAAACTTCCCTATTGGATGGAAGAGACCGATTTCAATCCCTCCCAAACCATCCAGAAACGCAAATTCTTGACCAAACAAGAGTGCGAATGGAGCGAGTCAAATAAAATAAATAAATAAATAAGGGGGGAGGGCAGAGGTGCATTCTCAAGCCAAATGGCTAGGTAGGTGTATAAAGATTTGATATCATTTCCCAATTATATTCCAAAACACAGCTATGAGAGGGAAATCCCTGCATAGTTTCTTTTCAAAAAAAAAAAAAAAAAAAAAAAAAGAACTCATAGGGCGTCTCAATGCTTGTTTCTTGTGGTTCCATAATTCACCTTACCTGTAGGTGTTTAGTATACATCAGAAACCCTATTATGCCAGAGAGCCCTTTGTATAAAAGGGCTTGATCAAAGGTAATATAGGGAAACCCAAGGAATTTGTTTCTAGGGACAGAGAACACCGGACATCGTCCCAGAAAGTGAAAAGGTGTTTCCTCTTCTTCTCCACAAGCTGGGCAGAAAGGAGATTCGACAAGACCACATTTGTGGAGATGCTTAGCTAGATAAGCATGTCCAGTAACAATTTGAATTACCTGGCGTAAGTTAGTTCTACTGAGGTGTATTTAAAAATGTGATACGAATATATAAAATTATGAAGCGCTAATAGCACTCATAGTTTTTTGAAAATCAAAAATATATACCCTAAAAATTAATGATGAGTTATTGAAGATATGTATCAAGGATGCCCAGGAAAAAATTATGTATTTAACTCGAAACGTTTGTCTGCAAGCCCATTATTCCATTTAAGCAACGGTCTCAAGATGTCTTCTAACAGGAAGTCATCTACAGATAAATCATTACAGTAATTTGAGTCGGTAAGGATGTGAACCGCTACCACTAACTCCAGTGTATAAAGTACCTGCAGAATTAAGAATTAAAAAATTAAAATAAAAAAGTAACTGTGTATTTAGCAGCTGGGGCACTCCCAAACTCTTTCAGTTTTGAATGATGATTGAGCTTTAAAGCACTGCGGATCATTGCAAATGAAAGCGACGAAGAACCAACTCTTTAGAGGGGACGTAGCCAAATTAAAGTTAGGAATTAAAAGTGCTATCGATAAATTAGATTAGTAATTTTCTAGTAAATTTCTTTCATATTTTTTATCTTACATATGTAATTTTTTAAAACATATTACAATAGTGTATGTAATTTAGATTGCATATCGTGATATGTATGAACACTTTGCATTTATCTTATTCTTTATAACTGTATGTGAGAAGTGTATTATATTTGTATATGATACTAAACGTTTGAAATATGAAGTAGACTTTTAATATTTATTAAGAATGCTTTAAGATGTATATGCACTTAATGACTTCTATGTTTATAGATATTTAACTGGCCTACTTGGAATCAGTAATCTCAAATATAAGGAAGACAAACAAGAAGAAAATGCAGGCGGCTCCTAAAATCTAACAGTTTTCAAATATATTTGATCCTGTGGAGATAATGGAGCAGACATTCGATTGTCCCACATGCAACATTTCTTGCTCAGATTTAAAATATCTTCTAGAACATTTTCAGACATTAGAGCATGCTCATAGGATTCAAAAGAAGGCAAATAAAGAGGAAGTTAAGAATAACATTTCTCAAGAGCAATATCTTTCAAACAGAAGAAATGAAACTTTAGTCTGTAAAGATTATCTCATAGCAGATTGTGAAAAATCTCTTTCACTGGAATGTATTCCCTCAGAGACAATTAACAAATCAGAAAATGTATTTTATTCTTCCTGTGCGATTTGCCAAAAAAACTTTAATGGCCCAGAACCTTACAAACAACATATGGTGAGTGCTGCTCATTTGAAAAAAGTTGCTTTAAGTGATTTTACTGCAAATACCAATTCATCGAGCAATAGTAATATTGGTGTTTTAAAAACGTGTAACATTTGTAACAAAAACTTCACTGGCATAATTCCATATGAAGAACATTTAAACAGTCAGATACACAGGAAGAATGTGTATTCTGAAAGTTTGCTTAAACAACCGAAAGAAACGTCATCCACTAAGTGTGACAGTGTGACCAGTACCTCATTTGGCGCATTATCAAAGTCAAATAATATAGCCAATGATGAAGCAGATGTAGCTACAAATGATTTGAATAAACCTATTGTTTCAGGAAGTTATGCTTCAATAGTAAATGTATTAAATGCATCGCTGTATTCCAACTGGTTTTGTACTATATGTAAGAAACAATGTACAGGACCTGTTCCCTATCGAGAACATAAGTCTAGTGAAGTTCATCGTAAAAATCTGAGGAGAGTTGAAGATTTGCAAAAAATATTTGAAATTAAAAATGAAACTTATGAAAATTATTATGTGGATTTGCCTCAAGTTTTGCCAAACAAAATAAATAACCATAATTCAAAAAAGGAAGATCCTAAGTTCGCGATTTTCCGAAGTTGGTACTGCAATATATGCCAAAAACAGTGCAGTGGACCTATACCATTTCAGCAACATATGTCTAGCAATGTTCATCGTAAAAATTTAATGAGAGAAGAAATAAAATCTGGTTTATGTCAGACACAAATATCTGAAATTAAACAGTCAGAAACAAGCGTGGCTACCTCGGTTTCTAATCAGTCTGAAAATGTTACCTTGCAGAAGCTGAATCCTGTTTCACAGCGAGCCCATCCACAGAAAGGCGTTTTTGAAAACTCAGAAAGTAAAATGGAGAATTTTATGTGTACACCACAGATGCAATCAGCTTATCTCTTTGATGAACATGCTTCGCGAAAAATGGCTATGCTGCTACCAGAGGAATGGAATATGACGTTCTTTGCCGTAGATGCAAAAATCGACTTTGATAATTTACCAAAGAATAACTATGAGGATGCCTTACGTAACGCTAGTCTGCCTAACTACGTGCGTAAACTTCTTCATACAAGTAACATGGAGAACATGGATTTTGAATAAGTACATAGAGAAAAACCTTAAAATCAACAAAGAAATCAATGTTGAAAATATTAGAAAAGAAACTAATAAAGAAATTAAAAGCAACATTGTTGAAAATGGTAAGGAAATTTAATTATGGAGCTGTAAAGTTATTTATCAAATACATAAGTCAAATGCAATTGCATGCTATTTGTAAAGTACACCTTGCACAAAAGAAAATGACACACTCCTATATCTCCTGTTCTACTAAGCTGATTCATGAAATTTAACTTCCATTTTTAGTTCTCGAAAGCGCGCCTTATGATATATATTAGATTTATATCAAGCATTATTCTAACATAGGTATTTTCACATAAAATCGGACTTTTCCTGAAATGGCATACCGATTTTTTTCCATATTTCAATTCTACGACACAAATAAGGCCAAAGTGCCAAGTTCCCTAAATATCGTACGAGTAGTTTTTAAAACATTAGCTCTCAAAATTTTGGCTTCTCAATGCTAATTGAAGTAGGTATATATTTATTAATATTTTTTTTATCAAACTTACTTGAATTCTTCTTTCACAGTGCGAAATTTAGGTATAATCCAAATAAATTTCCCAGCTGATTTTTCTGATTTGTACATAATGCGTATTTTGTAGCAGCACTTTTTAAAAATTTTTCGAAAACATTTTTGAATTGTAGCATGTAAAATGTTTTTACCATTATCTCAAAGTAGATACATTTCTTGGCATATCTGCAAAAATGAGAGTTTTTTATTCAAAATTTCCAAAGGTATGCGTGAATTTATATAATGGCACGTTTTGAAATTTGGCATATTTGTTAGAAGCGATAACAAAGCCAAATGTGCTTTGCGCACTTTGTTACAATAATTTGAAAGAATCAAAAATATACCTTTTTTCCACTCGTGTAGATTATTAAAAAAGGGAAAGGAAAATATTTGGAAAACAAATAAGTTTGCGCCGTTTGACCAAAAAAAAAAAAAAAAAAAAAAAAAAAAAACAATGGCGTTACCAGTAAGTTCTGGTTTAAACTGTCTGAAGCAAAACACCTTAGCGATTTTATATAAGCGTCATATGTTTCTTTTTCTTGCGAAAATGGCGAGTTTTGAGCTGAATGAGCGTCATTTGCGGGAACTTTTGATTTACTTCTTATATTTGAAGAAATCTGCAGCTGAGGCACATCTGTTGCTTGTAGAAGCGTACGGTGAGGCTATCTTAAGTTGTCGTGAATGATTTCAAAAGTAACATTGAATTTGACGTGAAATACAAAGAACGTAGCGAAGGATTAAAGTGTACAATGACGTGGAATCAGAAGCATTTATTGGATGAAGATTCGTACCAAACGCAAGTAGATCTTGCACTTACTTTAGGAGTGGCTCAATAAGCAATTTCCCGTAGTTTTAAAATCATTGGAAATGATTCAAAAGCAAGGAAATTATTTTCCATATGAACTGAAGCCGAGAAACATTGAACGCCGATTTTTTACATGTGAAATGCTGCTTCCTTTATCGTAGTGGGTCCAGTTTTCATCACTAGTGGCACATACAAAATACGATACAAAACCTCTTTCGTTTGCTTGCCAGGCAAACGAAAGGGGTTTTGTATCGTTTAACCACTAGTGATGAAAACTGGACCCACTACGATAACCCAAAGAAGAAATCATAGGAACAACCTGTCCATGATTCAACATCGACAGCCAAGCCGAATATTCATGGAAAAAAATCATGTTGTGTATATATATGGTGGGATCAACTTGGAGTTATGTATTATGACTTGCTGAAACCGAAAGAAACCATCAATGGGACTCTCTGCCAAACACAGTTGATGAGATTGAACAGATTTGGTGTGACGAAGCCTTGAGCACTGGGCTACTTGGTTCGATTGATGACGCATGGCCTGTCTGAGCAGAGCTTCAAATCAAATTAATATAGCAAAAATTGGGTTAGTTTATGGATAGCCTCGAAATATGAAGTATACGCGGTGTCTGTATGCTGCCAGAACGATGTGCAAAAATAGTGTCTAAAGGTAGAGAACACTTTAAATAAAACATAACGTCCTGTTCTTTCACAACAAATGACCAGTTTGGGATAAAAAACTGCGGAGACTTATTTGTATTCCCGATAGGTTGTTATAAATTTGGAATTTTTCCGAGTGAATTATTCTTAGCGCTAACTTTAAATAATACGCCAAGGTAAATTTTTAAATTTCTCGCTAAGTTTCACACCAAATTTTACAAAATTTAATATTTGGTCATACTTTGAGTCGTAGAATCGAAATTTGGAAAAAAATCGGTATACCATTTCAGAAAAAAGTCCGATTTTGGGTTGACAAAATACGTACGTTAGAATAATGCTATATATATAAATGTAATATAAATCATAAGGCGCGCTTTAAAGACATGAAAACCTAGATTTAAATTTCGTCAATTGGACTAGTAGAACAGGAGATATAGGAATTGCCCCCCCCTTTTTTTTTCCTTGTGTGTGCAAGCTATATGTTTGTTTTCAAATTGCACGTTTGCTTTCAAAATACGATTTGTAATTCACGTTTGTTTTCAGAATTTCATGTCATTATGAAACGTAAGAAGTCATCATGAAATATTGAAAACAGTTGAAATATGAAATGGTTCTAACTCTTAACTAGGTATTGGACTTTAAAGAAGAGCTGGTTTTTCATAAATTTTTCCTAGACTGTTAAGACTTCTGGTTATTTACGTTTACATATATATATTATTGTGTTACTTGCAATTTTTCTAAATAATTCATTTTATCACTATTTATTTTTATAATGCAGTAATTTTATTTTTATAATGCAAATTATAAATTAAATTTCTGAATTATAATCATGAATGAAAATGTGATATTATTGCATGAAACATATATGAACGATTTAGTGTCTAATTTAAGCTGCTGTAAATAATATTTAGGTTTCTGTGAGATATTTAATTGAATAAATACTTTATATTTAGCTTTCTGTGAGATATTTAATTGCATAAATACCTAAGACACCATCACAAGTATTTAATTGCAAATTGCAAAAATACTTAAGTGTTAAATTAACACACCACATGCATTTAATTGCAGAACTATTTAAGTGTTAAATTAACACACCACACATACACATTCACACAGTAAAAAAAAAAACTGCGCTTCGAGAACGTTAAATATATGACAGGTAAATTTCATTGGAAATGTGTGATAAGGAAAACAGCTCCCGACTTGGTCGATCGTTTTCGAGCTGATCTCCGAGCTCAAAGCACTACTATTGAACTCAATACAATCAGAATAGTCTTCACGATTAACTGCTACTCCGCGAAAAGGCAGAAAGGCAGGGTTTATATAGCTTTTGACCTGCCTTCGAGAACATTCTGGGGCAAACCGGTAAGAAATCGTTCTAGAATGTTCTCACTTCGCCTATAACAAAGCGTCAATTTTGTCTCCAAATGCTCGATTTCGCGTCAAGTCTGGCAACCCTGTCTTTCCGTGCCATTTTCTGACCCGCTTTGCCAAAATTCGCTTTGCGAGGAAGCTATCCTACCGCAACTGGGAATTTCGTAACAATATATTTCAGTTACAACTGTTGACAAAACAAAATACGTATTTATAATATCCACAGGCATGTGTTTCAGTTTCATTGTCTTGCCAGTTACAATCCCATGATTTAAGCTTTAATTTATTTAATTAAAAGCGGATGGAACATGAGGACTATCTGCTTAACATGTCAAATTTAATCGGTAGTGCTGAGAAGAAAGTCTACGATATATCGAAATTAAATTGTGGGGAAATAACGCTCAAGTAAATTAGATAAATAATAACAAAGGTGTGCCACGTTATTTCATATCAAATGCACTGAAACGTAGACGTACAGAAATAAAATATAATACTTAATAATTCCCTATTTCAATCCTATATGGCTCGATGAGAATGCTACACTATAAAAATCTGATGTGTATACCACATGACTTCTTTGTACAGAAGATTAAATTATACGCAATTTTCCTGCATTTCATTTAAACATATTGAAATAACAGTTAACGAATTTTGAATTAAATCAAAATATCGTCTATAAACTACAAAACACAATTGAATAAATGCGCTCTTTAAAGTTCGCTATATTTGTTTACCATAGCGACACTTCGGCGCTGGGTTCACTTAACAGCATTGCATCTCATTCATTTTATAACTCAGAGCAGACAAAAATTATATCATCTGAAGAATTACAAGTTCTATTCAAATGCTATAATAAATCTAAATATATAAAAGAAATTAAACAAATAAAAAAGAAACAGTTTTTCGCAGAAGATTCGGCGCCGCTTACCTAATGCGCATGTGCTACTAATTCATTCCGTTCTCACTTCGCGGCTAGGCAAAAATACATAAAAATTCAAAATATTTTCATTAAAATTTGAAAGATATAGAAAAACATAAAACATCAAGTACAGTTAAACAATTATAAAAACAATCTTTATAAGTAAAAATGCAATTTCTATGCAAAAACAAGCTAATAACTTAAATCATAATTCCAGAATTAATTAAGCATAATTTAATTCGCAATAATAAAAGAAGACGTTATTTTGCTGTTACGAAGCTTAGTTTCTCTAGATTAGCAACAAATGCACTATTCTGCTAAGTTTCAGATGTAAACAACTATGGCTGCCATGGTAACTAAAAATTAGGCTTAGCCGCACTTAAAAAAAATTTAAATTCTGGATAATTCCATAATTATTGCATGCAGGTTAACTAAAGGCATAAAAACCTTAACCGGAAGGTAAGAACAACACAATTCAATCACTTTAAAGCACAAAATGCAAAATTTACAAGCATAAACGAATAAAGAAACTGAGCTGACTGAACCGAGTAACAGAGTGGATATATACATATATTTATATACTTTTGGTGCAGCTGATTGCAACCAAAATGGGATGTACAAATATAAATTTTATAGCAGTCCTATATTCAAAATTTCAACGTTATAAGACTACTCGTTTTTGAGTTATACAAGATGCATACGTACACACAGACACCACGACAAAAATCTCTTCAGAATTCATTTTAAATCTGTTTTATAATTGTTTTGGAGAAAAAGAGTCTATTCTGGGCTTACATACAGATGTAAGCAAAAAAACCATCGTTAAATTGCATTCGATAGCTGTCAAAATGAATATTTTCGTTGAAATATGATGTCCGAAATTTTTCACGATTACAATACTTCCTTTTTACTTCGTACAAGGAAGTAATAAACTATAAAATATCTTGTAACATTAAAGAATATTCAGGTTCTTAAGAGAATGGATATATTAATGACCGTAGCATAAAGAACTATCAATACTAAACATATTATAACGTGTTATACTATAAATAAAGTTGAATTTGAGCGTTGTAGGCTCAAATTATAATTCAACTTAGTATTCTTATGCTCACCATTGAAACAAGCTAGATGCGGCATCTATAAATCCCGTCAGATAACCGAACTTTCATTTATCACAGCGCAATTTTTAGTATAATATTTTTTCTGCCTGTGTCTATACGTCTTCTTAAAATTATAGAAATGGCGATGATCGCATAAAAATTATGACTACGATTCAAGTTTGATGCTTCCGAACATGAGAAAGGCGGTCGCATTGGTTTTTGGAAATGACAGAAAAGCAGTAAATGGTATTCAGTCCAGTTCTAAAATTGTACACTGAATGTGACATGATTTTAGATGTCATCGAAAATCATATTTGCCTATTTCTTAACATAATTCTTCTAAAATTCAGTAATGCGTTTCTGGTGCGTTTCTTGTGCGTTTCAAATTATCGCACATAAGAATTTAAACAAATAAATTAAATTCAATTAATTTCAATTAAAAATAACTTTCAAATAAAAAGTCAATTAAAAATAAATTAATTTCATTAAATTCAAATTATCTTCCATCAGACCTTCAGCCTTTATTCTTAACAGCAGTTGTTGAAAGTTTATAAGATGGAGTATTTTTGCTGTTATGAGTTTTTCGAAGAGAATTAATATTTTACTTTTAGAATCATAAATTTATACTTGCAAACCGGGTTTGCTGAAAATTAGTTTTTGATTGAATTTTACTCATTTTTAGTGGAAATTTTATGTTTAACAATTATGATAATCTGTCTATGTTATAACAAGAACTTAATAAGGTACATATTTAATTTTTTCAGGATGTAGCTTATTTATTTAAATTGATATTATTTTATCACAAGATATTTTGACCTTCTGACTATGGAGCTAATGAGTTATGAAGACTATGGAATGGAGTTATGGAGACTATAACGACAAACGTTTTGTTTCTGGCTTGTCGTTCGCGGTTTGGTTTCATAATCTTTTGCTCACTAGCGTTCGCGCGCTTAGCTCGCTGAACACTGGTAGTTCGACCTGGGCTCAAATCCCAGAGAATAAGCTAGCTGCATGAGAATTTTCGAGGTTCTCTCCGTGTTTAACTTGAAAACGATCCAGTTTCCTTAAAGAAGACCTCCACGAAGGTATCCCTTTCCTTAGACAGATAGCCCTTAAGTACTTAAATTTTCCTTTCTTGATGCAGATTTATCAGATGTTCCATATATATGATTTGTTATTAGACACTATAAAAACTGAGGATTGTCTTTTTTAATTTCATAATTTTGTTTTAAATAAAATTTTCGGTAGTCTTATTTGCTTATTGAGGCCTGTTACACCAAAACGAACATTTGTTTTTAGTTGCTTTTAGAGACATTCAGCTGCACGGTCATATAGCTTCAGGGGCGGGATTAAACATAGTAACCATTCAAAATAATAAAGTATATAAAATAATTAAATGTAGACGAAATAATGAAATATAAATTATTATTCTTTAATATGAAACATCAATAATGACAGCTGTGTTTACATTAATGTAATCAAGTACAACTTTGCAGGTCAACCTGGATAATGGTTAGCGACTGCCGTACTAAAGGGCCTGGGTTCGAATCCCGGAGAAGGCATAGATGTTTGTAAATTTATAGTGTCTGTGGGGAATGAGGGCACTCTAAATATGCGGCGAGCAGAAAGTCCTCTCGAAAGGTTGATGGTAGGAAAAGATGGGTGGAAGACCCTCGGACCTGTGCCCTCCGGTTTGCTCTCCATCAGAATTGGGGGCAGAACTGAGTTAAGAACTACTGTCACCTGCATGAGTTCAAGGCTCTTGCCAACGAGAGGCGCAATCTTGCACTCTTTGCCACGATGAATTTGGTGGGCTTGTGCTGATGTTACTCTCAGATAAGTAAGATAAGTCACAACAACAACAGTACAACGTTTTTCATAAACATATTAATTTGCTTTTGCTTCTCTGTCTCAGATTCATTTCCACAAATATTTAATATTATTCTTTTTCCAAACCAATCATTGTGCTTATGATATAAGAAAATCATCATAAAAATGAAATTTTTAGTATAAAAGACAAAATTCGTCAAATGCTTAGAAGCATTTAAATCTACTTACATATGTAAATATTCATTAAGTCAGTGTTTTCACTCTTTTTATGTATCTACCGTCATGCGGATCCAACTCACTGTGTAACATGCTTTACAGTCCCTTTATTGCTGAAAAGAAGTGCAAGTGATCTAACCTTTCCGGTTTTCAGGGAGCATTCGCTGCAAAGATATAAACTGCTGCTCTCTGTAACAATGACACCCGGTTTCAATTTCTATTCGTATATTAACAGTATAAATCTCCATTTATATTCTTGCAGCCCTATAAATAGCTATTGAATCAGATCTTCGTTATTACATTTGTAAATAAAGCATGAGTAACTTTTCTGTTCTCTATCTCTTAGCCATCTTCTTACGTATCAAGTTTATTTTTTCTCTACGTTTCGAGACAATCCATTTTGAGTTTTAGCTAAAGAGCCTAAAATTTCCCACTTTAAACATCTGCTCTGGCAGGTAATTCCAGGGAAATGAGTAAATGTTTTCGAAGTTTTTACCAAAACGGCTATGAGGTT